GCGTTTACAGGTTTTTTTCCAAATTGGTAAAATCTCTTGCAGAAAACTTTTTCTGACTCCCACTTTACTTAACTTACAAATTTAATTCCATTGACTATTATGACTTGTTTCACAGATTACCGAATCTATACATATAATAAATCTGTAGAAAAGTCGTGTCTGTAATCCTAATATATTCTTCAAAAAACAAGCCTAGTGGACTAAATAAAGAGTTCTGAAGCCAAATTAGTGGTTTCTAGAATTATTGTCTGTCTGTCTGTGTATTCCGGATTCACGCAAAAACTACTGAACCGATTTACATGAAATTTTATATGTATGTAGTTAGTAACCCTATTTTAGACAGTGGTAGAGCCACGCGGCGGCTTTTGCTGTCGCACGGATGGGCCGGCTCGAACCGGGGTAGTACCACGATCTCACAGAAAACCAGCGTGAAGTAGAGGTTTACCTCTGCGTTTCGCTTGGTGAGTGCAGGTGGCCGGAGGCCCTTTTTACTGGAAATGAGGCATTCCACCTTAGTCCTCACGGGTGACAACGCATCTACATTTTGATTTGTAACAGAGGATAGATGTAGATGTCTATGGGCCGCAGCAACCACTTACCATCAGGTGGACTGTGTGCTCATTTGTCACCCTTATCTTATAAAAAAATGGATAAAGTAGTGTATTTTGCCTTCAGTTACTAATAAGTTAAATAATATAAATAACTTACATGTATATGATTAAATGATTAGATATTTAAAATTATTAAAAAATTCTAACGTTTAGTTTTTTTAGTATTTTTGTTATTTTATTTTAAAAGTGTAATAATTTCAATATATAATAGTGAGTCTATCAAAAATATGAAAATTGATAAGGTTTATATTTGAATTACTAATATATATGTAAAGTGATTAAAACTGGTGTGTCTGCATTTGTTGCAAAATTTTCCTTATCATTTTAGTTTCATTAAAGAGATTTTTATGTATGTCGTGGCCAGATCCTAGAATTGATCATATATCATAAAGTATTCTATCATTTCGTGAAATGGTGTTGACATTTCATGATATAATAACACTTTTTGTTGACCATGTCATGATATAGCTTGACCAAATCAATGAATAGAAATCGTTTGAAGACATTAATAACTAAACATAACGTTGCTATTTCATGATATGGTCATAATATGATGATATCATTAAATCGTTTTTCACCGCTAGCTGCGCTGATAGCGTATTCTTTAACAGAAACAGAATTTTTAACAAAATTGACTTTACTTTATGCCTTATTGATATAATAAATAAATGTTCGCTTCTATCGCCGATATTACTAGATAGTATAGTTTTGGCTTTCATTAGTTCATCTAATAATAGCACCATCTAATTACTTCTAAATAAACTAAAATGGCAAGTCACTGATAAAATGAAATAATACAATGCTACAGAATACACGATGTAAATAATTGAATCATTTACATTACATTCATCCCGCGTTGGAATCAGCGCAGCGAACACTTTTTTGGCCAAAAACTCTGCGGCCTGTGCCCAGTAGTAACATGTACGAGTATGTAAGCTGCTACTTTTTTACTTGCTATGGAGCAATATATGCAGTTTTTATTACATTTATATTTTCGGGTATGTTACTTTTTTGTTTTCACTCTACCGTTAATATTAAGGGTTGCAAGAATGAGTAGAACTCATTATAGTCAGCCTATCAAAAGTCCACTCAAATGAACATAGGCCTCCCCCATAAATTGTCAAGTAGTTGAATATTTGCTATAGTTGTGGTTGCAGTAGGCGGGTTGGCAACCACAGCTATTATTATTTTGATCTGTTGTCAGGAATATAATGCTGCTCATCTCCTGTCTGTTTTTCTATGCCGCCGATACGATATGATTCCCTTTAGGTGGAATAATTTTAAGGACTTCGCGTTTAATTTTAACTTTTTAATTCCCGATGTTTTGGGCACTTTATAGCACCAATGGTCACGGAAGAACTGAGGTGTTTGACGACCTGATGTCATAGTTATAACAGAATAGAATAGAGTAGAATAAATTCAGTAGTATGCTTGGGTTTGAATTTAATTTTATGAATTATGGAGTCCTTAGCAGATGGTAGCACTCAGCCATTTCCCATATTAAAATTAGGATATTTTGAATTTCAATAGCAACGCGAATCATCATTGGTAGAAATTGGTGCTCTATTGCAAGGATTTGTTGTCTATCAGATCCGATATAATGGTTGGAACGATACTAAACATGTTGATATACTTTAGACTTCCCGGTTCGTCGGTACTTCACATCAACAATATGTTCTTTTACTCGGAACTTTCATTCAAGATGCGTAAAAAAACCCGTGACATTGGTTTTAATCCATGTGTAGTATTCATTATTATAGAATATATATTTAGAAAATTTTATATATTTATATATAAAATTTCTATATATTTAGGAAATTTATTTTTATATATTTATAAAAAAATATGTTTTTATATATTTAGGAAATTTTGAGGTCTACTCGAAGTAAAAAAAAGTCTATTTTATGGTGCCAATCAATATTAAATAGGACCAATGATATCAATAAAATATCTCAAATAAACGTTATATTATTTTGTTAAAACTAAATTAACTTTAATTATGAATAAATTAAAGAGTTAAATGTAAACAATAATAATAAATTTTGATTCCAAGACTATTTACTATTTTCTTATGGATACATCGGAAGATACGCCCGATATAAAAAATAGTAAGTGTTTCTAGACATATATATTCACGTGTTCCTGTAGGATGTTAGGTACCAATCATCTACGTCTAATAGTCTTTTAGAATTCAAAAAAAAATCTTTGACAGACATAGAGACACAGACACCGAGATGACTCTAAATGTGATCGAATTTTCCTAAGTTTGGCACGGGACAGCATTTAATGATGTTCCTAAATTCAAGCTCACGCGAGCGAAGCCGCGGGTAAAAGCTAGCAACTCTAATAAATTTCTTATTTACACACTAGTCTGGCAGGACTTCAGATCTTTCAATATATTTCGTTAATTTACGCAAGGATATTATGTAGGTAATTGAGACTTACCTACAAGCATTGTTAATTTGATGGTGGATTGTTGTGACATTATATAAATCGTTAAATATTTAGTAACTGAGAAACAATAATTAAAAGCTAAGTTTCGTATTGACTAGAGTTACCAACCCTGCTTTATATAATACTAGTCGTTCCCCGCGACTTTATTGCCTTTATTAATTTCATGGATTTTAATTTTTCGGGCGGAACTCTAATTCTTTTTCTAAAGTTACCGGTACAATTCGTCGTCGACGCCGCAAAGGGGCGAACCTTAATTTTTTTAAAAAATACAGGAGAGCAAGAAAACGTTTATTATTCCCCGATTACTAGCTTTTTTTATCAGAAAATTAAATATATTAGACTTAATGGAAAACTACAAATAAGATTAATTTTCTGATGAAAACAAAGATAGTAATCGGGGTATAATAAATGTTTACTTGCTCTGCCGTAATTGTTTGAAAAATTGAGGTTCGCCCCTTTGCGGCGTCAACGACGATTTATCTACAGGCTGTAAGGCATTTTATTTTAGTCATTAAACTTCTTACTTAAAGTTGCTTACAGGTACTTATCTATAAGATATTTGTAATACTATCAAGTGGACTTTTACGAGTAGTTTCTTTGTCACCCTAACTTTAAATGCAGTACGAATGGGTCGACACGATCGAGGGAACGACCACGCTCACTTTAGACTATACAACCATACTCTTATGAGTATGGTTGTATAGTCATAATACCTGCGTGTACTACAAAAACAGACTTATGCTGCTGTCTCATAAAGTGAGTGGTGAGAACCGGATACTCTTTAAGTATAAAGTTTTTAAAATAAAATAAAATAAGTTATAAAATAAAGTAAAGTAATATTTGCTATATTATTATTGGATATATTATTGTATGACGGCTGTATTTCATCACTATATGCGACGTTCTTAGTTACAATTGAATGATCTGAGTGTAATAATGTTTGCAGTAAGCAGTTGACTGTTGACCTTAATACTGAACCCTGCCCTTATTGTTATCGAATCCTCTTGGTATCGTTCTCCGAGATGTGGCGTTCCGTTTAATACACAAATATTTATATAAAACTTGACATTAATTTTATATTGACACCGTGGTAGCAAAGGGGCCAAGTGTTCGCTGTAGAATGTAGAATGTAGCAGTCGAATTTTGTAGCCGCCGCTACCAATGAAATTGTTAATAACTGTTGATTGTTGCAATTTTAAGCGCTTATCCACCATGTAGGTACTCCACGGTGATGGAAAACATCGTAAGAAAATGCAGTTTTGTTACGATGTTTTCCATTCTTCGTCTGAGGAATAAATATGTTATTTTGTCTCAATTACATCTAAGCTCTTGCCAAACCTCTTAGACACAACACACTAAGTCTCCCGTTTGCATTTGCAAATTTCACGTTTTAAGTGGTTTTTTATTAAGTTTTAGAAATAATGATAGCCATTATTTTAAAATATATATTAGTGAATAGTTGACGATCACTATCAGCTATGATATGTACGACTTTGGCGTCAGTGTATGTAACATAACCCCATGGAAGCCCTACAAATTCGCAGAAATCAATCAAATCCTTGCAGTAAACCTGTTCTGTAATCTTTAACTGCTCGGAAACATTATTCTGAATATAATTAGAATGATATAGAATAATATAATTTTCGTTATATCGACGTTAGTAGTGTTTAAAAATGTTATAAATACTAATATCAATGTCCCTTTCTTTTGATCCGCTAATTACTTCTATGAACGAAACATCATGTTTTAAACTGCACTTTACACTTCGTGAGCACTTTATCTATTCATTGAATTAACATAGCATCAGACAAAATGAGGAGAAATGCTTTTGTCCCTTATTACTTTATCTATTGTAAAAATTAGCAATATACATAGATCTTAGACATTGATATTTGATATTATTATATATAGGTATTCTTAACTTGGTTGGCTTACCTTCTTCCCATTCACATAAAAAACTAATTCTGTACTTGTATCACATTCTTCGTCAACGTTAAGCTGCCCCATACTTTATTCTTTGACAAGTATTACGTAAAAAGAAATGTTTTAAGAGTTAACTTAAATTGCGACAGTTTCACCAGACTCACGCAAACGTCCGACGGAGACTGAGCGGCCGGTCAATTTGATAATGTCCTGCAGTCTTGAGTGCGCCCGCGCCGATCACTTGCGCGAATTACAAGTGTGTCTTAAACAATCATAACATAAGCTTATCGCTACGAATGAAAATAAGAGAGATAACAGTAGCTAATATGACTATTGTTATATGAATACATCTTATTTATGATTTTATTAAATTTACTTAGTTCTAGTAACAACAACTCATACATGCATCATCCGCAAACCAGCAAACATATTGCGCAGAGCAGCGGGCTGACCTATAACCCTCCCAAAAATGAGAGGGCCTTTAAAACAGTGGGGTATATATAGGCAGTACTTTCCTTTTTTAACATCCACGTTTTAAGTAACATTAAAAGTAAACTTTACTAGAATACGTATTTAAAAACCTTATCAACTTGTGGAAACGATCACATTTTTCGAACTTCTGAAAGGAAATACGAGATTACGTTTGCACCTACACCGGTTATTTATACGACTTACAAGACATGATATTTTATAGTATAACCTTTCAAGTTTTTACTTATATTGCTCTAATTACATTATCCCACCACATCTAGGAGTAACTAAGTGAGATACCTAACACGCCTAAACGCATTATTAATTTTGGGTTTTGGAAATAATTTCATGTACATTAGTGTAATAATATGGAAATAATAAACATATTTGTGGTGAATAAAACCTTAAATATCGATCCCCGCCGGTACCAATGAAATTGTTAATTGCAATTTTAAGTGCCGATTTACCACGTGCTCGGCGTTGAAGGAAAATATCGTGAGTAAACCTGCATGTCTGAGAAATATAAAAAAATATATTTTGAAGACATGTGAAGTTCGCTGACATGCATTGGGGCAGCGTGCGGACATTTCCTTGCCTTTAAAAACCCTCACAGAAATGTGGGGAGGCCTGTGCCCAGCAGTGGCACGTATATAAGCTGTAACGTTAACTTTAAAACCATAAATGATGACTGGAAATAATATTGTTATGAAAAAATAATAAAAATAACCCGAGGAGTCAAAGCCACGGGGTAACAGATGTATCTGGACGTGGAAGATGGTGTTTTGTTTTAGCATAGCGCAAAGACAACAAAGGACGCGAAATCTACATTAGTCGTTTATATCGCTTCTGAGATTACTTTTCCCATCCTAACAAGTTTTTGCATAAAGTTTATAGTTTTCTGAAATCTTTACCTACAGAATGTACCTAAGTTTTTGTCCTATTTAAATATAATTAGTTCTTAAACTGTTGAATATAAGGTTCAACGTATTAAAATAATCAACTGTATTTTGACCATATAATTGAAACTTAATAAAAAAGGCCAAGTGCGTGTCGGGCCACGTATAATGTAGGGTTTCGTAGTTGCCCGTCGTAATACGTGAACCATGGATAAGCTGATATAATCGTGAACTTAGAGGGGCCCTTCTTGATACTATGAGCATATTATGTAAGTTTGCGGCTTGGCCGATATAACGACTAAAAATGGGCCCAAATAGTATACGATGGTAACTTAAGAACTTATTTTCCAAGCATACTTATAGGGAGTGGTATCCAAAAAAGATAAAAAACCTTTTCGATTTTGAAAATAATACAATCTACATCATCTGGCTGAACTGACCGTAATGAACCTTCCCCTAAACCACCACTGCCCTAAACTATCCAGAGGGCTGCCCACGTAAACCAAGAGCACCACTAATGAAACTGTACGCCTACAATAATACAATACTAACACTCACGCCTGTCACCCAGAGGGGTAGGCAGAGACTACGGACTTCCATTTGGCGCGATCCTGACACACTTCTCTCGCCTCCTTTACATCCATATATTTACGCATACACGCTCGTCGGTTAAGGGCTACTACTCCTAATCTGGATCATTTTCAACGTATCGCCGATTTGGTCGATAAATCTTCGTCTAGGGCGTCCCTTCCCGACTTTGCCGTTCACTTCTGAAACATAAATTTGCTTTGTCACTCTTTCCTCGTTCATTCTTTCTACGTGACCAAACCACCGAAGCATTCCTTTTTTAATCCTAGTCACAACGTCATCTTGCAAACCACACTTTTCTCTTATCACACTATTTCTCACCCTGTCATTCAGATTCAGCCCTAGCATACTCCGTAATGACCGCATTTCTACAGCCTTTATTCTACTCTCATGCTTCTTCTGCCACACCCAACTTTCACTACCATACATTAAAGTAGGGACTAACACACCATTATGAATTGCCATACGTGCCTTCTTTGACACATTCTGACTCTTCATAATAGCGTGTAGAGCCCCATTAACTCTATTTCCTGCGTTCACTCGTCATTCTGTATCCTTGTCATATCTACCATCCCTGCTAAGTAAACATCGCAAATATACAAACTCATCCACTTGCTCAATCAACTCCCCTTCTATTCTTATTTCACATAACGTTTTACTTTCTTCTCTTTCAAAAACCATCACTTTCGTCTTACTTGCGTTCACTTTCATACCCCTTTCTTTTAATGACCAGTTCATTAAATTAACCATCATTTGCAACTCGGCCTACTAAACTACTAACTAAAAATGTGTGCGAGTGGTATGTCAGGATCGATCTCTTATGGTCCCCACACGCGGTCAGTTAAACTGACATCAATTCAACTGATCATTCTAACTGATCAGTTTAAACTAGGACTGTTGATATTTTTAAAATATCGGATTTTCAATATATCGATAGTTATAAATATATCAATATCGGAGTTTTATATACCGAAAACATAGCGATATATTGATATATCGGCTTTATTTAAAAGAAAACAATCGTATGTCAGCTCAAAAATTATTTACACAGTTTATAATTTAATATATTTATTAAACAAATTAAATTATAAATGTATGAAAATGTTAGGTTATAGTTCTTACTTATAGTTAGTAATTATTAATGAGTCGTGGTAGCTCAGATGATTACAACTCGCTGTAAATTTCACAGTACGCAAGCAACCCGGGTTCGATGCTGATTTACCAAGTACTTGGCGGTGAAGGAAAACATCGTGAGGAAACCTGCATGTCTGAGAAATAAAAACAAAATCGAAAACGTGAAGTTAGCCAACACGCATTGGAGCAGCGCAGCGGACGTTTCCTTGCCCTAAAACCCTCTCAGAAATGAGGGGAGGCCTGTGCCCAGTAATGGGACGTTTACAGGCTGTAATTTTAACTTTAACTTTAATTATTGTTTAATTTAAATAAGACAATTATGTGTTCCAATATTTTTCAGTAAGAGTTTTGAAAAATACTCGTTGTTTTATATGTTCAGCTGTTTCAATACTACGTTTATTGGGCACTAAAAGATTGATTGTAGAAGTAATTCGTTCAAATGCTACAGATGTAGCTGAAGAAATCAAATATTTAACAGCTATTTCTGATAACACGGATGTAAATCATATGACGCCTAAGCGATCAAAATAACTTGAGGTTTATAACAACATCGATGCACTTGTTTCGTCGTTTTCTCTAATAGCTCACATGTGCACACACTTAATACACATAATCGCATCACTTTGATAAAAATCCACTTCAAACGATTATTTAAACTATAAAATAGGAGCAACAATCCGTCGATGGTCAAATTCCTGCCAAAACTCATTATACGGACGGAAAGATAGACACCGGCAAATTATTCCTCTCCCTTGCTGTACGCGAAACAAAAAGTGTTTACAAAAGACAAAGCAAACCGTTTGGTTCTAATGCGTGGAATATCGACAACAAAGGGATGAAGACCTGCCGTCCGTCTGGTTGTCCGATGGTGGAAAGGAGAGGGAGGAATTAAAGTAGGAGCCAAGGTGAACGGGCTCCTTTTAGCGGTAAAAAGACACGCTTGTGTTTTGGAGGCGTTAAATCTCACGAGATTGGCATCGCCCCATTCGGAAACTGCCTGTAGTGTGAGACTCACACGCTCAACCATAGCCTCTCTTTCTGACTGGATTTGATCCCGACTGGCCCGGACGCTTGGTTGGTATCTCTCCACAACTGTACTGTCATGTACATGTAAGGTCCCCAGTTGATCGATTTCGGCGAAACCCGTACTGGCGATCACTGAGGAGATCATTTTGCTCTAGGTATGCCATGAGGTGGGCATTCAATATACGCTCCATAATCTTGCAGAGTATGGAGGTAATTGAAATTGGCTGATAGTTGGCAGGGTCGATACGGCTACCTTTTTTAGGCACAGGCTGCACATTGGACAGCTTCCAAAACTTTGGCACTATTCCAGTCCTGAATGAGAGGCGGAAGAAGCGTGTCAACACAGGAGACAACTCACGTGCACAGACCTTTAGAACTATAGCTGATATACTATCAGGTCCACTAGCTTTGCTCACGTCTAGACTTTGCAAGGTTTTAAGAACCTCCTTGTTGGTGATACGGCCCATCCACGTCAGGTGCCTTAGTCGCTTGTTATACCAGCTGGGAGAGAGAGACAAGGCGAAATTCCACGAAATTCCATTAAATAGGTTGAGAGAATGGCAGTTGAACGAGGCAGAACACATATAACCTAGGGACGCAAACAGAGTCACAGCATCGATGGTACCTAGCATGGAGATCGCAGGGACGCCCGAACCCCCCTGGAAATCGCCACCAGGCCCCCTCCTCCGGTCGCCAACCGGCATGGTGGAGCCATCCCAGGATTTTTCGTAAGATGGTGGGGCAGCCTTTCATGAGTGGCCGGCTCATTAATTTGGCCCTCAACTATCTACGGTCGGTATGTCTTTGCCAGGTGGGTGGTAACCAACACTCGGCCTAGTAGTGGACCAACCTACCACCAGTACGTGGTACTGCTCGTTTAGCACTACCCAGGGGATACGTGTAGGGAATCAGGATTCAAGTAATTCCTACGGACGCGAGCAGCTTCATCCCCCAAAAATGTATATGTAT